TGCTACCCACTGGCATGGCCTGCAATCCCAGACTTGTCTAACTTGGTAAAGAGAGATAAAAGCTAGACTAGAGGGGGCGCATTTAGTGCAAATGGACCGAACATAACTGGTTTTGAGGAACCAAGTCCAAAGATATTCGAAAGTCCAAACCAGAACCTTCATTGTCTAGGAATGGAGAGGGGACATAAAGCCGAGCGTCTAGAAGCAGCTCGAGGTGGAGAGGCGAACACAGCTGAGGAGGGAGTACTGTGTGCAGATCGAGCACTGCAGTCGTAGTTAATGCCGAAAGCTAAATTTGCAAGTTCTCTTGATCAAGGATTCAAAACACGGTCCGCCCGACGCCTAAGCCTAGGCGGCTCGTTAAGGGCGGATGTACCTGAGCGGGCGCTCAGCACCCTGTTCTGGGCGGGCGCCCAAGGCCCAATGTTCAAAAAGACAGATTCGGGCGCCTAGGTAGTTTGGGTGCCTGGCCGCCTAGGCGATCGAGCAGGCGCCCAGAGACAGGGTGCCCTCACCAAAATCAAACCCCCCCCCCCCCCCACCCACCACCCCAAACCTAAAAAACAGCTGAGTTCTAAGGGCATGGTTTAGTTTATTTATTAAATGAACTAAAACAAGAAAAATGGATTATCAAAGTAAGATACATTATACAAAAAAGGAATCAACTATTCATAAAAGAATACGATATATGCTCAATTTCATCGTCCAAGTGAGAAAAAATTCAATTAATCACCAAAAAAATCAATCTTTTAACTGCAAAGATGTAAATATATCGTAAAAGAAAAAAAAAGTAAAAGAAAAAACACATGATTCATAACATTATATGTTGTAGCAAAATAAAATCAAAACCATATTTCAAATATGATAATACTTTAAAAATATCAAAATCAAATCAATGTCGGTGCAAACCTCGTCTATTGGGTCACCAAAAGTTCTCAAAATCAAACTACTAGAAGCTCCAAATCCACCCACGAACTATTGCCTTCGTTTTGGGAAAAAATTGAAAAAATAAAAAATTTATTGATCTTTCAATAAATCACAAAATAGTGGTTTTTTGGGGGTGGTTTCTCACCATAAAGGCCACGGATTTTCTATTGGGGGTTTAGAATACCCCCTAAAACCCTTTTCCCCTCTTTTTAGAGAGAAAGAATTACATTTTTTTACCCTCTATGAGGGTTTTTTTCTGCCCGCCCGCAAGTTGTCACAGGACGGCGCCTAGGTGGGCACCTAAACAATAGCGCCTAAGCGACGCCTTGACCGCTTAGGCGGGCACCCAAAAGCCGGGCGCATAATGACCCTGCCCAAACTGCACTAAGGCATATTTAAATTTTTTTTTCCTAGGCAGTCGGGCGGCCGAATTTTCAACATTGTCGCGCCGTGGGCCCTTTTCCGTATTTTTTAGTTCCCCAAGGGTCATTTTGACCCCAAAGATAGTAGAATTATGGGGGTTATTTTTTGCCCCCCAAAGTTAAAAAAACACCCCCAATCTTTGTTATACATATTTTTGAGAATCGAAAATATTTTGTGGACTGAAAAAGTTTCCTAAACTTTTCTTTTCTCATTGAAATTAATATTCCGGTGCTATTGGATGTATTAGAAGACTTATTAGTAGCTTGATTGAAGTTTGAATTTTAAATGTATTTAATGTTTTAAATGTTTTGTTTGGGGGTTCCATAGCCTATTAGACTTTCAAATGTTTTGTATGATTTGAATTTTGAAATTTTGAACAAGTTTATTGTCAGCGTGCGATATGTCATATGTTTATATATAAAAAAGTATGTTACAATATTTTCAAATGCAATTACCAAATTAACATAAATATATACATGCAAATGCAAATATATGCATATATCTAAGTAATTTATATTATAGGGCGTCCGAGGTTCAGGGCACTCGGCGCTAGGCGCCAGGTTGGCCGCCTAGTATTTTTTTGAAACCTTGCTCTGGATCCTTTTAAACTTACTCTAAACCTGCTTTGAGCATTGGAGCAACAAAAAGCCTCCACATCTTCCTTGGAGCCATCAAATTTGAATTCGATGAGGCAACAAACCTTGTTAATGTCACCTTGAGCCATGTCCAATTTTTATATGAAGCTGGAACCATTGAACAGAGGCGATTGCAATTGGGTGGAAGGGGTTGTATCCTGTGAATGAAACGACTCACATTGTGAGTTGGGCAACTGAGAAGAGGCCGACACCGAGACCACTACGAGGGTGCTTGGAAGATGGGAAGACGTCCTTAGAAAGTTAAAGAGGGCCGACGAGGCGGCGGTACTCAAAATTGTGAAGCGAGTAAGGGTTGGGCACAACTTAGGAGAGACCGGGATAGGTGCTAGCAGAGGGGGATTGAAACAACTGGGTTTGGGAGGTGGTGAGAAGGGGGGATGGAGGTCATCGAGAGGGTTTGGGGGAAGGGACAAAAAGAGGTAGGGTTAAGGGAAGAAAGGTACCAAGGGGCTGGAAAAGGTGAGGGATAAAGAGGATGGAAAGGATTGGCAAGGGGAATAAGAGGATAGGTGGGAAGGTTAGGCAGAGAAAAAATTGGGGCGAAGGGTGGGACGTGCCAAGGGAGAGGTGGAGGAGAGGAATTGAGGCTAGGGTTGACATACAGAAAGGTAAAGGGGTTAGGGGAAAGAGCAGAGGGTGGAACAGATCTTCGCATACGAGCGAGAGAGTTGTTTCCGTGATGACTACAGGGAGCCATGGACGAAGATGGGTGTTCTTCCACAATGGGATCTGCTGGAAGTTCGACGAAGCTGGGGGGGGGAGGGGGGAACTCAGGACCCGTAGAAGCAAGGCAGGGGTAAGAGAAGGAGTGTGGAGGACCACATGGGTCGAGGAAGTACAGACAATGGGTTCTAGGTTGAGTGCCTCGGGGTGGGTGGGCAATGATGGGGAGGCAAGGAGAGACAAGAGAGATGATGAAGGTGGGGTGATGGGGAGAGGGGAAGAAAAGGACGACGCGATGGATGGCTAACGAGTGAGGGGGGGAGTGGAGTGGCAATGGAATCTGGGGAAAAGAGTAGGAGGACAGACTCTGAAGAGGGGGGGGAGGGGGCTGGGGGGTAGGTCAGAGCAGCGTCTATGACGGAAAGGGTGGGGTAAGGCTAGGGAACAGGAGAGAGAGGGGGCAACGATGATAGGTATGGAAGGTAGAGGAAAACCACATGGGCTGGAGTTGCATTGAGAAGAGAAGGGGTGCGGAGGAATGATGGGGTAAGGTACGGCTTGGGAAGAGGAGGGAGAGCAAGCGACGATGACAGGCGAGAGGTGATGGGGGGAAGGCACGTGGCTAGGAAGCAAGGAAAGGGAAAACGCAAGATTTCCAGAGATACAAATAGCGTCAGAGGGGTTGGTTGAAAGAAGGGGTACATGGCGAAGAGGGGGGGCGAGGGAGGGTCGGCAGAGTGATCGAGGGAGGGAGAAGAGGGTGACATGCATACTAAAGGGGAGCAGAGAGGCGGCGATGGGTCAGGGATGCCAGTGGTGGTCATCAGGACCTGGGAAATGATCCTCGGTAGGTGAGAGGGTCACGTGCTGGGGCTAGTAGCCAGAGTGATGTGGAGCATGGGACGGGTGGTCCTGAGGAGTATGGGGTCTATGGTTGGAGTTGCGGCCTCTATGGTCTTTTCTACGAATAGTGGTCCACCCTTCGTGATCAGCAACCAAGGTAGAGACATTGGTTGTTTGGGCTTTACGGGTTGCTGCTAGGGAGGTAGAGGACAAAGAAGTTACAAGGTGGAAAAAGGTCCCGGCAATGCTTAGCCAGAGAACGGGCGGAAAAAAACAAGGATTCAGGACCTCCACTAGAAGTAAGATGGACCCTAATGGGACGAATTCGATGGATTTCCAGTGGATTGCTACTAGCTTCCCGTAGTTTGCCTCCTATGAGTTTGAAGGAGGTAGGATGACAAGCGTGGAGAGGGGTATCATCTACCCTGAGACGAATTCTCTGGGGTTTGAAAGAGCCTATAACGAGTGACCACTTCTCCAGCAAGAGAGCCGCACCTTTGAAGGGTGGGGGGTTGAGACTGACGAGCTGATTTGGCAGCGCTTTTCTATCCTGCAAAAGTCATCTCTCCTAGGATGAAGCGCCTGATAAGAGAAGAATGAAGTTTAAGAGCCAAGTCAGAGGGATGAGTCTCTGGAAGCGGAATGAAGCAGATTAAGTTAGGGTTGATCCCCAGAGGAGGAAGGGTAGAGGCAGGTTTAGATGGATGAATAAAGCTGGTTGGACAGACACGATAGGGGCCGAGATAGGGTGAGAAGCCGAGGGGAGATTAGACAAACCTGGGGCAGGTTGAGTAGAAAGAATGTCCCACAAGTTGAGGAAAAAGAGTTCCCTAGAAAGCAAGGGAACGTGTTCCCAAAAGATTGGGAATAAGTTTTGGTTCCTAAACCGTGCTGTCACATTCTGTAAGATCCCAGTGACTATGTTCTCACTCCCTGTAAATGAGTTTCATCCATATTGATCACGATAAAAGTATTGTTCGCAGTAAAACAAGCTCGTGCAACCATTAAAATGTTATGTTGACTGTCGTTTTTCTACAAGGAGAACAAGTTATGATGTAAACAATTTACATAAAATAGAACGAGTTCTTCAAAAATTCATACATAGTGCTTGAAAAAGATAAAACAATAAATGGAAAATAAACAAAATGTACGTAAAAAAAAGTAACTTCTGTAAGTTAACTGAGATATGATTGAACCTACGAAGATAAATTTACTTCTCTCAAACTTGTAGCTGTCTGTCTTGGCTTAACAAGAACATATAGTCTTAAAAGGAATTTAAGAAAATGTTGTCAAATTATTCTTCTTGATTTGCTCTTCTTCTAATTGTAAGTGAGTCACTGGAGATAGAAAGATCACTCAAGAGCATGATAAGCTCTTAAACAGTACAATATAGGTAGCCAAAGAAAAAGGAAAATATATATGGGACACAATGACTTGAGAATAAAGTAAAAATTCATGGACAATGAGAAAGTTTGATAGGGCACTCACGATGCAAGAAACCAGTTATGCAACAGTGCCCTTGTTTCGATATACATGATAGGGGAAGTTACCAAGCTTATTAGTACTGAACGCCAAGTCTTTCTCTGATGAAATTCAGTCTTCAGGCATATGAATGGTCTTTGAGCAATCTCGTGCAATATAATTGATATATCATGCTTAAGAGACAGTGGCTCCAGATACCACGAAAGCAACCTATCACCATATTAGGGTAAAAAGAAGAAATATTAACAAAAAACTTAACAAGCAGTCACATAATTCAGCACAATAATTTGACAAATTATTTTGAAGGATATAGTAACGCACTTTGTGGCAACATATCAATATTAGGGTATTTGCCACCAGTGTATAACAGGTGCACTTACGGTACCAAAGGCCATCAGCCCCCTGTGTAGGCCCAGATGGGCCGCCCTGGGCAGGGCTTATGAGGCAGCCAAAGCGCACCTGGGATGTTTTAATTTTTGAGTGTGTGTCTCTGTGTGTGCATGGGCATGTATGCACACATGTAGTGCTCTCTCTCTCTCTCTCTCTCTCTCTCTCTCTCTCTCATACACACACACACAGAGGATAATGAGACCTAGTCCCAGCATTATTGTGTCACACATAAATGCCCCATCAGAGATAAATTCAATCATTAAGTTTATGGAAGATTAAAACTATTTGAAAAAGAAAAAGAAACCCAATGATTTCCAGCAGTTGTTAGAAATAAATTGTTTCCATCAATAATTAAATTCCAGTGTTTCTGAATAAGAGCAATTTGAGATTAACAAAGCCAAACAGTTTCAAGATAACCCCCGTCACCAAGACCACAGTATCATACACGAATTGGTGTCTCGAAATGTTGGATTTGGAGTGCACCTCATGTAGTTGCATTGATCACCATGGAATTACTGGTCTTGTTGGTTGTATGGTGAATGTGTGTGTGAGAGAGAGAGAGAGCGAGAGAGAAGAAACATAATTTGAGATAGGGAATGCGAATTATGGATAAAGTTAGTCAGAGATGGAATCTTAATCCAAATCGGAAAGATAAATCCAATTTTAAACAAAATAACCAACTAGAAGGCTCCTCTAAAGGAGTTAGAAGAGAGAGGAACAAGATTCTTTTCTCAAGAAAAAGGGAGGTCATACACCATCTGCAAGCCTCTTCTCTCTAGAGTCCAACATCTCTCTCTCTCTCTCTCTCTCTCTCTCTCTCTCTCCCTAAATCCTCTATCACCTCATTCTAGGGCTGATTTAGCAAGAACTCCCATGTCATCCATCAAGGCCAAGGGATTTGAACTATAAATCAATCCTTATGGTCCTTTCAATCAAAAGAGGGAGGCCTAAGGTCGAGGAATATAATGTTCAACCATCAAAAAGATCATCCGCCGGCAAAAAGAAAACGATATCCACAAAAAGGCGATCAAATCTTGACCAGTAACCCACTTAGAAAAAAAGGGATGTAAACCCATTTGATTCTTTTGTTTTTGTATGTTTTTATGTTTCCAATATGTTGGACTTGCCCATGGAAACCCCACATTTGTATCAGAGCCTATGATGGAGGTTCACTTCTCGAGTCTGATTGCCATATGTATCGCTGCCTGGATTGTTCCTTCTGCTCATTCAGTAACCTGCTGTGTGCTAGGGAAGCATCTTGCATAGTGAACATGAGCATTCCACCCTGCAGTTGGACACATGTTGGGCATGCACCAGATGCACACCACGTTGTTTCCACATAGTAGATTCACCCATACATGAGTTCGGAGGTCTATGGCGCAAAGATCGTGTGTCGTGGCTATGCACACATCTGTGGAGGCCCTTGTGCCTAAGACTGCACTGTACGGTTGACATCGTATAATGCAAACAGCTGAGCTTCTCTTGTGGATTGTACTCCCAATACCCCAATGTCAACCCAGAAGTTTTTTAGTATGCTTTTACACCACACCCTTCCTGCACGTTTGTACCCGTAGTTGAAAGCAAACTGACTTTAGGAGTCACTTATGATCAATGACCGTTTATGGAATGCACCTTATAGTGGGCTTTTTGCATCAAAAATGCAAACACTGGCCTAGTGACAAGAAATAGGATGTCACGCTTCCAAATCATACTTGATGATTACTAGCATTGGCCAATAAGGCCATACGAACTTTTTATTCAGTCGTTTTTGGGAGTTTGACTGTCTTGATACACGTATGTAAATATGTAATCCTGTGCGAACTAAACCTATACATCCATGTCGTTTACGATGATTTAGTTTCTTGCATGGACGTATACTGCTAGGGCATCAAAGGATGCGACTCTCGACCTCTTTGGATGGGAGAGTCTGGATGATAGGAATTATGACATGAGAAATCATAAAAATCAATACACACTTGTTAGCAAGGAGTATTGGAGAACCTAGTTCATCGTATGCATAAATGTGCTTGGTGCATTGGACAAACCAAAGGGCATGACAGCCACTCATAAAGACCCTCACAAGTCATGAAGGCCGTCCTCCATCCATTTCCAGGTCAAATAAGAATCTGATGGTATCCACTCTTGAGGTCAATTTGGAGAAAATTTAAGGGCCACTCAACATATCACGTCATCAAGCCTAAGTACAGTAAACCTATACTTGATGGTAATCTTATTGATGGCACGACATCAACACACGTTCTCCAGTTACCATCCTTTTTTAGACTTAAGAGTGCAGGGATCGTGCACGAACTTAAGCTTTTTCCTTTTAAGTCTTTTCCTTATCAGTTCCATGACATGCCTATGCAACTCTTTATGCTTTGCTGGACTCATCCGATAATGGGCCAAGCATAGGAGAGTGGCTCTAGGAATGAGATCTATACAGTGTCCAGTGTCTCTCATAGGAAGAAGGCCGTCAGGAAGCTTTTCTGCAGTGAGCTCACTATTTCCTTCCAAGAGGGAGTGAACCACTTTTGGAATAGTGGACTCTCTACCTCTTCCTTAGCCACAAGAGGTAAGAGTCGTAAGACTATCTTTGTATTCGTACTCTCCACCTCAATGACGCTATATACAATCTATCCTCAATCGGCTCTACTTTATGATGTTCTCTAGGATCCTGAAAAGGATTATCATCATACTCTTCATCTTCTTCCTCATCTAACGTTTCGCTCCGCTCTGAACCACACACACCAGCATCATTGCAAGGCTTCTACAAAAGGTTAAGGGGAAGTGTCACCCTAACAGCTGCAGCCCACAGCAAACTGGGCCAACTGCTCCCTACTCTGTTGTAGGCCAAGTATTTGTTGGATAGTTTGTTGCCAATCACTACTAACTTGGACATGCTAATGACCTTGGTCACGACCAGAGCGTTGACCATGACCCAGGCTCACATTTCCTCGTTCTTCCAGGGAATGTGAACTCGCCTAATCCTAATGCAAAACATTCCTAAACATAAGGAAGAACACTTCCTACACTCTAGACAGCCACTTGAACATAGTTCTTAATAATTTTAGGACAGCAACCAAAAAGCCCTCAAGAACTCTCTATCAACCCTAGGACAACAACTAAAGCACTTGAGGAAGGTTATAATATAAAGTAGGACAGTGCCTAAGGGACATAACAACAAAGGGCCAACACACTTAAGACCTAATGGATGTTTTAAAACCCTACAATAGACCCTGAACAATTTAAAAGTAGACCTGTATCCCTAGGAGAACTTGTTTAGAGATTACTTTAAATTCCAATAAGGCAACATATCTACAATTTCAACAGGTAATCCCCAAAACTAAATAAACAAACTTGTGGAAACCAACATACAATTTTAAGAATTTGTTTTAATGACCACACGACAAGATTTCGAATCTGTAATGGGCATATATTTTCCCCAAAAAAAAGTTCAGCCAAATAAAAGTTGATCTAGCTTTCTCCTTTGCTGCTTTTGTAACTGGGCATATATCTATAAGCCTTTTCAGCTTTTTCAGTGTGTTGGTGTCTGTATTGTCTGGTCCTCCTCTCAGGGACTATAACACAACTGAGGTCCACAAGTGGTGGACCCAACTCTGTCAGTGTAACTTCTTTTAAATTTAATGTTAAGTCAACTTCTCTCAAAAACAAAAGTTGATCTAGATCAAATTAAAGCGAACCAACAGCCCAGAGAGAAGAAGAGGGTACATAATAACTATAAATTAATTCCTGGAGGTCTCTATAAGTAGTTCTAAAGTTTGGGAGTTTTCAGAAAACTAGGCTTTTGACTTTTGATACAAAATTAGGGTCAGATTTCAAGGAGTTTTGTATTAGGGTTAATTCTAGGGAAAACGTAAGGGTCATTTTTAAGATTTTAGTGAATCTTTAAATGGGGAGCATATGGCTGGTTAGAAGAGTTAGGGCAACAAAAAAAATGTGAAAAAAGAAAAGAAGAAAATATGAAAAATAATGGAGAAACAGAAAGTTAAGGAAGGAAGAACACTAAAGAATTCAAGGAAAGAAAAGAAATAAGGAGTGAACGAAAGGAAAGAAAAGAAATAAGAAAGGACGGAAAGGAAAGATAAAAAGTAAGAAGGGAAAGAAAAGAAAGGGGAAAAGAATTGAGTGGAAGAAAAGGAAAGAAAGAAGAATACATTAGATAAAAAAAATAGAAGCAGAAATTGAAGAGTGCCTTGGAAGGGAGGGACCCTCAGAGGTGCTACTACCCCATCTCTATGGCCTTCAATCATAGAGTTCAAGAAGCCCTTTCTAGAATATTTCTTTCTCAAAGTTCACCAAATGAAACATACTATTGGGCTAGACATGCTCTCTCCCCCTTTAATACAATTTAGCTTTAAACAAAAGACTTAATTATTTATAAATAAAATAAAATATTAAAAGACTAGACTACCCTAATTTCTTTACAACTCCAAGACATAAATACCCTAAGGTAATTCAAATAAATTAAAGGACCAATAACCCCAGTTTTCACTCTCCAACAACTTGAAAAAAACTTAAAACCCTAATGCCATGATGTCCTCATCAACCTCTTATACAGTAGTGGTGGCGTCACTAAGCACGTATGGTATGAGACTATGAGTTACATGCCACGGTGTAAAGAATAGACAATACTAGAATCCACACCAGATTTGTACCTATAGGTGAAGCTCACACACCGAATGCGCACCAAGCAACAAACCTAAATATTCGTGATAATTAAACTTGGATATCACACAAGCTACATGACCCGATGGGAGGCCATGTGGATCATGTTAACTCCCAACCATGGAATCTCATCGCAATTTCTTCCAAAGGTGATGCTCATACACCCCGTGTGTGTTTCATCCTCCAATGTTTCCAAGACGAAAGGCATTCAACATTGGGTTAGTAGCAATCCCTGTGTTGTTCGTGGTAGAGAGAAAAAGAAAAAGAAATTTATAAGAAAAGGATGGTTACTAAAGTTGGTTAGAGTGAAACCTTATTCAGAATCAAAAAGACAAAGTTTATTTTCAACAAGATGCCCAACTAGGGCTCCTCTACATAAGAGATACAAGACAGGGAGAAAAGATTCTTTCTAAAAAAGGCAGGTCACTTCATAGAGGATTCCTATTTGAAAACCGGATCGATTTAGTAATCGGAAATGCAGATTGACACCGGCTAGAGGATTCCTATTTCAGAATCGACGTTCGTATAAGAGGAATCGTGGGGGACAAAATTCCTATTTTAGGAGCCGAGATTCAACCAAAATATAATTGAGTTCCCTATATGGAATCGAGATTCCTAACTCTTTTGAAACGAGTTTCCAACCTAATTGGAATTGACCAAATAATGAATCGCGATTTTGACATCTTTGGAATCTAAAGGAAACTGAGAGGGAAACAATACATGTCTCGATGCCATTCATTGACCGACATACCATACATGCATGTTTACATTATTTTATTACATTATTTCTAATATCTTGAAATTGTGATCTCTCCATTGGATCAATAAAATGCATACTTGACGAATTAAGTAGAGAACGTGGACCACCACTTTGACTTCTATTGGTCATTTCATGCCAAAAAAGATGACTACACTTTGTAGCTTGAGATTGCGTGTCCAACTCGAGTAGTTTGATGCCTTGAAAACTTCTAAACATCACTTCTCAAGAAAAGAAGTAAAAAGACAAAAGAAAGGGTAAAGTAATAAATTTCTACATTTCCAGTTTCAATAAATGTAGAATCGAGATTCACCAATCGCAGAATCGAGAATTGTCAAATATTGAAAAAGATATTCTATAAGTGTTGGAATCGAGATTCCAAAAATAAAGAACCGCGATTTTAGACTTCAAAGAAATAGGTTCCATTAAATTCCTAGTTGGAATCATCAAATAGAGGTGCCAAATCGGAATCGCCACCTTCGGTAAGAAATTCAGGTAAACATTAATTTCGAAAAATATTAATTTCTAAAAATAACTAAGGGCAACATCATTATCCAAGCCTTATTTCGGCAACATGAATCTTTGGTGGAGGGCAAAAATTATTCTTTTTTTAAATTTTTATTCAATTTCAAAGGATGTATATTATAGTTTTAGTTTTATGATTTATTTCTAGGATTTTCTTAAGTTTTTAAGAGAATTTAGGTTTTTTATACTTTTTATTTCCTTTGTGATGAGTACTATTCAAAAGTATTGTTTACGAGTATTGTTCATGAGTATTGCTCACAAGGTTAAAACAGTCATTATAAATTTTACGTTTAAGCTAGGATTATGGGTTAATGTATTATTTGTTTGGACACTTTTTGTACTTGGAGCATTAAATAAATATTATAAAGAGCTACGTGGGGGCCTAGAGAAGGCAGTCGCCTGATTTTCCATAATTGAGAAAAAGGAAAAGCTCAGGCTTTTGCAGCCTAGCTTGGGTGTGGAGAAGAAACCCTAGGTTTTTTTAATTGTGCTTGTGTTTGGCTTTGTTTCTTGTCGATTTTACTGTTTTCTCAAATTTTCCAACATTAATTTGGTTCCGGAGCTCAGGGTTTTTTTAACAAGGTCAAGAAACTACGACCAAATCTAGGGCTTGTTGATTTTGGCCAATGTTTTGCCAAATCAGCATAGAACTTGCTAATTGCAGTAGGTCTTTGTTGATCATCTTCCTAGGGTTTATGATTTCGATGAACTCATGGCGGCAAGAAGGGACGATAGGAGGGGGGTTTTGTAGACCTGCAACGTGCTCCCAAAAATGACAAAATCGAGGAACCTAACAGGCAAGTTCACAGTTGTCGTAGTAGTCGCGAACCTCGTCTTTCAGCCCAAGAGGATCTCAAGTCCAAGCCTTTTCACTTTTACGCCCGCGTGGGGAGTCAAGTGATGAGGATAGTGATAGAAGACTTAGACATGGTAGGATTTTTTATTTGAATTATGAGATTCTCGATTTTGACACAGATTGCAACGTAAAATCAACAAGTTGTAGATTGGGATTCACCACCAATCTTCGAAACATACTCCGATGAACAACACGATCGTTAATCCGAGCTATGATAAGGATCAAGAAGATGATGAAGAGATTTTGCAAGAGGGTGAAGAATATGGAGAGAAGGCAGCAAGAGAAGTGAACCAAATCATTGCCTTTGAAGATCTTGTTAACATTGAAGAAGTAGAGCATTCAAGAAATTTAGAGTATTAGAATCAAAGTAGCGCAAATAAAACGTGATCAACTCATAAACCGCAAATAGTGGCCCTGATTTTAGAAAGTAATGAAAAAGATGTCGAGAAAACCTCTAAAGACACAAAAATTGGATTTGAAGTTTCCTGCACAATTTTTAATGGGAGTTTAAGGATAGCCATATTTGATAAATTTGCATTGATTCCTCAATATACATATCAGGATCCGTTTCTTGTGGAATTCCTATTACTACATATAACATTTGGTCCAATAAAGAAAAAGAAGGTTGAAGAAAGTGGTTTTGATGTTGAATTCATCTTAGAAACTTCAAAACTCGATGATGAGTTTTCTCCAAGCAAGGGAGAATAATGGAGGGCAATATTATTTTTAGTTTTTAATTTTTATTCAATTTCAAACTATGTATATTATAGTTTTAGTTTTAAGATTTATTTCTAGGGCTTTTTAAGTTTTTTAGGGATTCTAGGACTACTATATTTTTTATTTACTTCATGAGTACTGTTCACAAGTACTGTTTACAAGTACTGTTCACGAGTATTGTTCATCAGTACTGTTCACAGGGTAAAACCATCATTACAAATTTTAAGTTTAAGCTAGGATATATAGGTCAATGTAGTATTTGTTTGGATATTTTTCTACATGGAACATTAAATAATATTATAAAGAGGTGCGTGGACTCCTAGGAGAAGGCAGTCGTATGATTTTCCAGAATTGAGAAAAAAGAAAAGCTCGGGCTTTTGCAATCCTAGCTTGGGTGTGGAGAAGAAACCCTAGGTTTCTTTGGATTGTACTGGTGTTTGGCTTTGTTTCTTGTTGATTTCATTGTTTTCTCATATTGTCCTGCATCAATCTTGTTCCTCCATACTTCTCTATTCACGGCTATACTCTAAATAACTTAGCTTTAGGATTTATAATAAGATATAGTAATAAGATATAGTAAAGTTTTACGCTGGCAGCCTAGCTAACGCAACCCACCTCCTTTACCCGAGCTTGGGATGGATTAAGGGAAAGTTTAAGGTCCTCACTCTTAGTTATGCTAAAAATAACTAAGAGCAATTACAGCTAATGTATCTAGCACTAAAAACAGCATCTTGCACTCTAAGATGCAAAAAAATGATGTGAAAACTATCAAACCATGCTTCCCTATACACAACACACAAGGGAATTGGAGAAAAGAATGAACAAGTAAAAAGTAAAAAAGATGTTCCATGCCTCAAGTCAAAAGAGCCATTGCGGCTTATTGATATGAATACAAACAGAAGAACAATTCAATCCTACAATGATATTCTAATTCAGTAAACTATTATAGATAGCCTAGTTTAAAGAACCAAAATTTCAAAATATTTTTTTTTAATTGACAACCCTAGCTAAGCTTGTAAATCACAATATTTAAGCAAGAGGTTCCATGAGAAATGCAGTTTACCTAGATGACTCTTTATTGTTTTCTTTCAAAGTTCCTTCCGTCAAAAAATAGTGAAAGTTCAAAAAGGAACTATTTCCTCTCTTTGTTGACTTTTCAAAAACCGTGGATGATAATGGGAAGCAGCACTTATAGCAGGATACTGATGTTGCTACTCTCAAAACTGCATCAGCCAGAAAACCAGAAGCATAACCTGCAATTACATTGAGAAAGAAACAGCAAATAATTAAGCTTGCAAATAAAGAAAATAATGAAGCTTCGAAAATGATTAACCATCATTAAAACTTAAATAAATAAGAGAATACAAGATATTTAAGTTTCAAAATGCAGTAACACACTGTAAGGTTAGAGTAAGTAGTTGAAGAATGTACAACTACTTCAAAGGTAATCCAATCCAAAGTCTCCTAAAGTGTTAGAAAATAACACTTTTGGGAGGGGAGGGGGGGGGTGGGGGGGAGTTTTAGAAGAGAACAGGAATCAGGATTGAGCTTTGATCAATTTGTTGTTGAAAAGTAGAACACCACATCCCAAGCTCGATTCCTCACAGCTGAACTAACCAAAAAAAAACAAGAGTAAGCAGAAATTATAGGAAAATCCTTTCTGTCAGTAAAATTTTTCCCAAGGGATTATTGGTGAGAACCTTCATATTCTGGATGATGATTGTTGAGAACCTTCAAGTTCTGAATGATGTTCTTAGTTACAAATCAAATTTCTCACCACATAATGTGATTACAACATTATTCATTCCAACACTGAAAATTGGCTACATATGATATTTAATGTTGTTTCGAAAAAACATATATGGGACAATTAGAGCAGAGAAACTGCCATATCAACTAAATAAATAAATCACGTGAACGTACAACGAGTCCCCACTTGAAACCCCCAATATCAAAAAAACATGAATTGCATACTGTGCCGAAAAGTATTAAACTCAACGTTTAAGTCACACTTTTTAAAATTTTCTCACCATATAATGTGATTAAACATTATTCACTCCAACACTGAAAATTGACTACATATGATATTTAGTATTATTTTGAGAACTTACCCAAAAACAAAATTTGTTTCGAAAAACCATAGATGGGGCAATTAGAGCAGAGAAACTGCCATATCAACTAAATAAATAAATAACGTGAACGTACGAGTCCCCAATTGAAACCCCCAATATCAAGAAAACATGAATCGCATATTGTGCCGAAAAGTATTAAACTCAACATTTAAGTCACACTTTTTAAAATTCCAAGCCTCTCAAATATGCACAATGCAACTTCATCCAGGGCCTCAAAAGCCCCTTAATTCTATTTGTTTGGTTTTAGAACTCTCCATGCCTTGCGGATATTCTACCAAAGTTACAACCTCTTCAAATGATAGAGAAAACTCGAGATAAGGATCTTTGATATTCCCAACGCCAGCTTTACGTCCATGAGGGAGTCTAAAATCAATCAAGACCTTCTCTACAACAATGAACAATTCCACTATGGCAACCAAGAAGTATTTTCACTCTCGTGCTCCCTCGCAATCCTCCCAACAATTCATTTCAGTAAAATTAGCAGCCCAACAATCTGCCAGAGAAAATTTGCCTAAAAATTCTAAATTCCACTCTCCCAGAGAAAATCTATGGAAGCCGCATAAGGGAGGATTGTTGGATAGATGCTAGAAATATTCCCAACAGATTCAAGATTGAACAGATTTTGGAATCTCACCATCCAAAAGAGTTGGTCTAAGCTCATCCAAAACCTCAATCCGACAAAAACCAAGGGCCAAGGACCCCCTAAAATCCTCCTCTGACTTTTCTACCGAAAGATGTGCATAGCAGCACCCAACAAATCCCATAGAAAATGTAATCCTAGTGTGCTGCGGCCTCCTTGCCCCATGCATACCCCATTGGAGGGTACATTCACCAGATTGAGAGATATAGAGGATTGACCCTCTTAATGTTCTTAAGAAAAAGAGGAAATATCTAAATCATTGTATTTGTACCAACAAATGCAGCTTGAAAAATTTTGTGAGGGTGAAGTTGAGCAATCTTGGTAAAAAAAGAAAATGGGAGGCCATTTGGAGGACTGGCTAGTTACTCTGGAGTTTGTAGTGTCAACTAGCTCTCACTTTGACCACATGGTAAAAAGGACAGAGTTTATACTTAAGCTGGAACAGACCTTTGGATTTCTTGCCACCATGTAGTAAGTTTTGCATCAGTGCATATCCTCACTTTTCATGGGGTATACTAACGACAAGCTTATTTCAAACACCCCCAACTACATGCGTGGATGTCGAGTCCTCGTCCCTTAGCTCAACCAGCAACCAAGGAAAAGGACCGAGCAGCTGAACAAACTTGTGCCACTTGGTGGTACAGACCTTCACATACTGTCGGTCTAGTTTTTAAACCAAGGTGCTCAAGCCTTGGGTCATGGCTAGGTCATCATGGATCGGTGCGTTTTAGGTCAGAGCAAGAAGAATAGAAGGGTGGAGTATGTGGGAGGGCTTGCATGAAGCTAGTTATATGTGACCCTTGGGGAGTGTGAGGGTCGGATCTAGGAGTTCTTGACTTGGTATGTGTATTCCAGACGAGGGCTCGGTCTGTGAACCTCCCCTGACTCAGCCAGCAACAAAGGAAGAGGTCCGAGCAGCCGTACAAATACTCTGTAATACAGAACTTCACATCCTGGAAGTTATAATTTTTAAACCAACAAACCCTTATGAGGAGGGTCCTCAAGGCTTGGCTGACGACCCATCATGGCAGACATGGCTGGTACAGTGCATGGGATGTGTGGGCTTAGACCTTATAGCCATGCAAGCACACATCGGGACAATGAGCTGGAAACTGACTTGGTGTGCTCGAGCTGCGCAGTCGCCAAGTTCAAATTCAAAATAAGGCAGTGCCTTCATAAGCGGACCAGAGACATGGGTGTAACGGCTTAGGCCAAGATGTGGGTGGAACAGCTAAGTCATGGTGATTAAAATTGTGGACGGTTCCTGTAATCAACACATGTGAAGAGCTGGACACCTGGTGGCCTCCATGCAGATCGTGCATTGCGGGCTCAGCCAACACATATGCCTTGTATTGGAATTCAAATATTGTAACATGGTTCTATATAAACCCTAGGGGCTTCTGGTGTAATATGCATTGTAATGTACAAAGTAATAGAAGTAGGCCATGGTCCTTCTCAATCCTTGCGTAGACCGTTGTTCGTGTGTTGGTGTGTGAGAACGTTGAACTTGGCCCTTAAGCAACCAAGCTTCAGAGTCATGGCTGCACATTTAGGCTAGATGAACAATGGCCCCCTGACACTAGCCACCATGACGTAACTTGTGTAATTGCTGCATTTCCTCTCACTTTCTCCTATATGATCAGTCATTGCCTACTTGCAACTTACCGGTATGTTACACATGATGGTTTATAGAAGAAGAGTCCCAGTCGCAAGTTTTATTTAGAGAGTTAAGAAAATCATGAAGGGTTATTCAAATTAAGGAAAAAATGAATGATAAGCAAAAGCAAGCACAAAATACCAATACAGATTTTTGACAACAAAGAAGTAGCTGATATTTCAGAAGAAGTTAAGGTGCTCACCCTGATATGGAGCTCCAAAGACCATAGGGCCTAGAAGCTCAAAATAAGAGGCTATGAAGCCAAGCTCCTTGTACAATAGAAGTTGGACTTCAATTCTTACACTCGAATGAAGGTCTAAAAAACGATGACTTTGCGAGACAATATTTGTGGAGCCTAACACAATGATTAAAATAATAAAATGCAGTTGCTGATTCTAATGCCACCGCTCAAACACCTTAAAATACAAATTAAAAATTAAATATACATTAATGGAGGACTAATCACCAACAGGATGAGCACAATCATTATCATTTTGTTCACTTTCCTCAAGCACGTTCAACATGATTATGGATCGTGGTTACGAAAGTACTCGAGAAATGTTTAAATAAATTAAGTTGCTGATATTATGACTGGTACCTGCATAAATCTAGCCAACCATTACATTGCTACAGATGAGAAATTAATTAAAGAAATGTCACAGGTGTCCCTGTAGCCCAACAAGGGTAATCTCATGGACATGGATGAAACAAAAAAAAAAAGGGAAATGCCACACAGCACAGATTAACCAAGGAGACACAAAATCGAAAAAGGTCTGCTATAGTCCTATCGTATAATTAAAATTCAGTAAAAGAACAATATTTGCATCTCAAACACCAATGCTTTTAAAGTATGACTCAGTGGAGAGACTCGTTCTTTGTAGTCAAATATGATGTCTGTGAGGATGTATTCCATGGAAAATCTGTTTCCAAGGTATCTTTGTAGCCATTTGGAGAGAGAGAAACAATCAGATCCATGATATTAACTACAGTGACCTCTTAAATGTCCAATAATGCATCTGCCATTTGACGATTATGCAGCCCATGAGTCTCAAAGATTTCGTTGGTTTCATAGATGAGGATCTGATCACTGAATGCAAGCTGGCTGATTTAATTGGAACTTTTAGATATATTATATAAGAGTCCTATGGCAAGAGCACCATACATCTGTCTAAAGATCAACCTTGACAACAGATCCAAGGGAATACCTTCCCTAGAAACAGCTTCCACAGAGCTCTCAAAAACTCAGAAGCCTGGAATTTGTCAGAAGCAAAATAGAGAGCCCTTCCACATGCCCAGAGAAGTCTCTCTCTCTCTCT